ACACTGGTATTGTTGATACACTTATCCATCAAAGACAGCAGACGGAAAGTCTTTCGAAAGATCTCATTTTGCGCAGTTCAAGGAAACAAGTAGATTCTGCTTTAATTATCAGTTGTATAGGTAAGACGGATGAATAAACGCTCTGTGAAAAGAATGAGATAACATCTAACTCCTAATTCCCTTCCAAGGATTTGTTGACAGTAAGTCATTGCCTTGATCACTGTTTCATATGCTTTAAGTGCTATGTATTAGAAAGACCTTGAAAATTGTGCATTCTTTTTATATTTTAAGGTCACGGGGGTCAGACTTATCATTATAAAGGCCATAAGAGATGAAATGAAGGCTTGGAGACAATCTTTGTTTTTATGTAATGATCTTTGCTACATGCTGCCTTACACAACATCTTGGTGCCAGGATCTGTGGTTTGCTGCACAGTCTTATAGATTCAAAGAACGTTGCATTCAGTTACTGAAAGAACACAAATAAAGTTGCTGCGTTGAAATTTTTTTTTTCTCCAGGGAGAATTTAAGGGTCACCGGCATTTCCCGCGGATTAATATGCTCAGGTCGAGCCTCTATCTTGGCTTTGATGAAGTACCTTGTCCAGTGTCATGGATAGACAGTTAAGTGCTGGAGCTTTTACATTAGCATAATTATACTGAAGAGTGAAGCTTCCTCTATCATCAAAATGTTAGCCTCTATCACTGTTCACCATGAACAGCAGAACCTCAGTAGATGAAGAGTACTTTTATTAATAACCTCTCCATATGCCAATCAGAATATTTATGTTTAAAAGATGGTGCTGAGACACTTAAATGATTCTGATGCAGTCGCATCAACATTCAAATATACTATATGCAAAAACATAGGTGGCACGTGCAAAATACTATAATACACTTATTATATTCAGACTACTGCAAGTTTTAGAGAACATTTGAGTTTTTCATTGTAAAGAAGCCGATATGTTCATCCTTATCATATAGGTAAGCTTAGTGGCTGAGGGGCATTTGCTGCCAGTGGATGACGTACTTGTAAGTCATTGCTTATGCTTGTTAATGCGGTTTTATTGGCAAGATTAACGGCTTTTATATCATAGCAGAGGCAGCAAGCCAGGTAAAACAGCTGTTGCTCATATTGTCTTGGTTGTAGGACACGGAGACACATTAACACCATATTACTGGAAACACATACAGCCTTGTAGCACTGCTGAACAAGTGCACATACTATTTAAAAGCAAAGGGATACTATAAAACTAGTTCCCGTTACTCTGGCTTTTCTGCCAGTTTTCAACCTAACACATATTTTTTTTAACAAAGGATAAAATGTTTCAGTTGTATTAAATAACACAAAAGAAAATTTGATTGGAAAAAAACATTGTTAGGTATTGGTAAAAGGACTGTGGACATCCTTTTTTTTTCTATCTTAAAAATACTAAAGCGCGCACCAATAGATGTCGTCTGCTGCTACTGAGTTAGCTCTTTGTGTTTTCCGCAGAAAGAATGGACAAAGGGTCAGATGACCACAGAGGTCACGCACGTGCATTTACTCAGAGACATGTACCTTTTATTGATTGGAGGCACGTGCAACACACATCGGTGCACGCTCGCGTCTACATTCACATGCGCTTTAGGAGAGCGCAGAGTGAGAGAGCGTCTCAGCATGCAAGGCATTCAAGCTATGTGCGGTCTGTGTGCGGATACAGCTTGGTACAATCGTACCATTTAGACAAGGCCCAATTTACTTAGGATGGGTTTGCAGCATATGGAAGCATCCACAATAGCTGTCTGATAGAGAGACAAAGAAATTCCAGTCTTCTGGTGCTAAAAAACTCAATTCAGATCTGGTCATAATGGCTCAGCTGTCTTAACCAAAGGAAGAGAAGAGAATAGGGTGCCTTGTGATTTTCCCCCTTTTTACCCTCACCCTCCTCGTTTTCTTCTTTCTTTTTTTTGTGCCTGAATCTTTTATCTGTGTTATTCACTCGGGACTCTTCAAAGTAACAAGCCTCCTTCTTTTTCCCCGGTACTGGACTTGGAACCCAAATTAGAGACTGCTTGATTAGAGCAGAGAGGAGGGAGCCAAGAGAGAGAGTGAGAGAGATGTGGGTATTGGACAAAACAAATCACACCCCTACAAAGTGCCTTTTATCCAAAGACCCCAAGGCTCAAATACCCCCGTCCTTCCCCAAGCAACCATGGCTCTGCTTGTTTTTCTCTTATGATTTATTTAGTCACCCGTTGATGTTTTCTGCCCTACTTTGTGACGTTTAAAGAAGGCAGGAATCTCAAAAGGTGCATGTGAATGGGCTGAAACTTGGACAACGCCGTCTTCTATGTGTCAGTCTAAAAATTCTGAACTTGGCAGAAGTGTCCTAAAATAACAAAACAAGAAAAGTGCCAGCACAGCTTGACCGCTTACTCCTGGGATCCTCTTCCTGCTTTGGGCTGGTATTGTCCTACTGAGGCTCACTTGTTCACCAGGAGGATGTCACAACACGTTAGGTCCAGGCCGACTGCTGGCGTTTATGTAGCGCCAAGGCATCTCTGGGCTGTCTGTCTGCCATCGGAAGCGCAATGTGAGGAGACATGTTAACAGGCAGACCCCAGCCCTACCGCTGTTAAAAGCCATGCAATATGCAGGAAACGGCCTCTTTTGTCAGCAGCCTGGTCAGACACAGACCACGACTCTCCTCTTCTGTACCACCCAATAAAAGTTTTATCTGCATTTTAAAGCTGATCCATAATTCAAAGCAGGAAGAAAGGGATTTTAACACTAACCAGCCAACAAAAAACACATGTGTCTCATTTTATGTTTGGTTTTCTTCCACTGCGCTTATCTTTAGTAGATATTTAAGCACCAAAGCTGTGTTTGTCTGCAGTACTGACAGCTAATCTGAAAATGTCTTCAGCTGTTGTAGATTTTTAGGACTGAGATCGATAATTATGACTGAAATCAGAAGAGAGAGATGGCCTAAATCGTGGTGCAAGGGAAGGTCTGGGCTTCCCACAGTTCAGCTCAACATCAAAACAATGAGCCTTCTGTTAGTATTCTTGTGGTGTCTGGGCAGGAGTGAACACCCCACACTCAGACTGGCCCATCAGGTCCTTCATTGGACACTTAGCACAAGTTCTGCTGCATATTCACGCTCACAAGACAAAACATAAACATTCTGCAGAATCTTTGTAATTTTCACAATTTTTAAACTCCTAAACTAGTGTGACATGTGTACTTAGGCAGGCTGTGAGGGCGTCATTGAGCCCAGATGTTTTACTTTTTTTTTTCCAGCTGACACTCATCTGTGACTCAATGGCCCCAAATCAAAATGATCATCTAGATGATGATTTTCCTGTTCTTCTTTTCTGTCTTGTTACCCACCGTCTCCCTTTCTTTACGGCTCTCCCTCCTTCCCACGACAGTATTGATAGTGATTTATTGTGACAATGACCGATGTATTTTGCTGCTGAGCAGCTCCTTCATGGAGACAGCCAAAGGTTAATAAAATTGGTGCTGATTGTATCAATTTTATAGATAAGCCAGTCACAACAAGTGTAGTTGGGTGAATAAGAAGTCAATTGAGGCCTTGGAAACTGCACACAGGCCCAATGAATAGCTGCTTTTAGGTGCTTTTTTTTCGTTAGGAGGATAAATGGAGAATTGCAGCTCTCTTCCATTGCAGCAGGCAGCAGAGGCAGAGCGAGGCGAACTGAGGTTCAGACAAGCCTGCCAGTAAATTGCCCTGAATGGGTTCTGGAGGTTGACAGGCCCTATTAAGACAAACAGCTTTCCTCATCGGAGAGATAAAATAAATCAGGTGTTTAGTCAAATTAAAATAGTTTGAGTGGAGAGGGCCCCTGGGAGCTCTCAGGAGAAACTCAAGACAGATGTGGTCAGAGACGAGAGGAAGACACCCAGGAAAGAATTCAGCTCCTGCTGGCTTCAGGCCAGACTTCACCGCACTGTTATCTGGACCTCTTGTGTTTTTTGCCCCCTTTCTCTCTCTTTCTCCCTCTAACTGTCTCTTTCTCTTTCTGTCAGTTTTCCTGTCAGTTTTTTGTGCATACCACCATACCAGCTGTCACACAGGAGTGCAGTGGGAGGAGAGTGAGTTACTGTCTAGCCTCTCACTGGCAATTATGTTGGCTGTGTAAGTCAATGGTAGGATCACTTAGCATTGATTAGGCGGAGAGAGAGCAGTGCAGCGGAGCCCCTATCACACACAGTGCAGACATGTAACTGCAGAGAGAGAAACGCAAGTCCGCTGCTCTGTCATTGCTTTGGTTTTTCAAATATGCATTAAAGAGAGGGAATGTGATGATGATACAAAGTGCATGTGGTTATAGTGTATGTTGAGCATGCATTTTGTTTGTGTACGTACCGCTTTGAGTCTTTTTTTCTGCAGGTTTCCACATTAAATTCAGCCAAAATCTGCAGGCGTTTCCTCCCCTAATATTTGGTGTGTATAAAAGTTCTGTTTATAGGCCAGTGCAAAGAGTGACTCTTAACACTTTCTTTATAATCACCCGTGGACGTCTGAAATAAGCTGCGATTTCAGTTTGACAGCTCCCTGCAGCTCTTTGTCTGTGTGCTCGGAACAATTCCTTCACTTTCTTGCTGTGAAAGCCGTGAACACCAGCTACAGAAAAACAGACAACTCCAGGCTGTGTGTGACCTTAACACTTTCTAGTGAATTCACTGCAGTTGGTTGCTGCCTGTGTGGTTTTCTTTGTACTAAATATTGTGTACAGCACAATAGCACATGATGATCGGTCACTGTTCTATATTTAGCATTATATAATGACCGATGGCTTCTGCTGTGTTTCCTCCAAAAGCCTACACCCTGGTTATTTAGTCATGGTCACAATAAAAACTTTTGAGTACTTTTTTTTCCAGGTATGCACCAACTTGTGGTCATGTTTTTGTTTTTGTTTTCACCACCTTGCATTTATCCTTTCCTGCTCACAGACATTGCTCTCTCTTTCTCACTCTCCTTCTTCTCAATAGGTACTCCTGAGAGCCTGGCCGAAAAGGAACACCAGCTCTCCACGATGATCACTCAGCTGATCAGCTTGCGAGAGCAGCTCCTGGCTGCTCACGATGAACAGAAGAAGCTGGCTGCCTCACAGATGGAGAAACAGAGGCAGCAAATGGAGTTAGCTCGTCAGCAGCAGGAGCAGGTAACCGCTTGCTGTTTTCTTTTCTCACACGCACCAAAACACCTAGCTAATAGCCCACACTATATATTTATTTTACCTTTTCCTAAACTAGGCTCTTTTCTTACTATTTGAAACACACAGAACATTCCCCTCCCTCCTTTTACCTTTTTTATTTAATTTCCTCTTTCACCTAATAATAAACCTCTTTAAACACAAGTCTTTGTGCTTAGCTCTCTATTTCATATTACATTTCATGCCTGAAATGCGCCAATAAAACCTTGCTACTTGGTTGGAATTTGGAATAATATTAGATTTGAAAGACGTTATAGTCTATATTGCCTGAGATATTTCGGTCATGCTCTCCCGCCCACAGTTATGCTGTGTGGTAGGAAAAATGTTATTATGACTTGTACTAACAAATGCGAGGGAATGTGTGAATTAAACGTTATATTAAATATGGAAGTCCTCTATATCTTATAAATCGACTCCTATTAGAACAAGCCTGGCATTAGATTTGCAGCACAAATCAGGCCAATGAGCCATATTGTACAAATCAGCAAATTAGCACAGGCCATGAAGTGTGTTAATGTCTGGGAAGAAATAAGGACACAAACTATCCACACGGGCGACACTTTTATTATCACCCGCCACCCTAATGGCTATGAGTCAATTATCAGCAAAGAGTTCACTCAGAGTTTTCTCAGCACACTCTCAGACCTTCCTTTGGTAAATGAAGAGATAGACCGTCCACCTTGGAGTGATGCATTTGGTCATAGTACACTAATAATACATTAACAGTATTGATTTATTTTTCAATCAATAGTGTTCATTTGCAAACTACGCTCAGCTCTGAAGGCTTTGTAGACACTGCAGAACAAACGACCAGTGATATATGTTTTATTATTTGATCTTATGTTAATGCGGGCTGATATTAATATTTACCATTAATAAAAATGGAAGAGAGACAGCGAGAGATGGTTGAGAGAGGGAGAGTAAGAGAGCCCGCTGAGATCTGGGATGTCATCAAGCCATCAAGATACAACGCAGTAATTAACTGTTGACACTCGTGAGGAAGCCAGCACAAATTAATCTTGACACATTTGCAGACGGCCGATATCTTACAGTGAACACTTTGTAATTATATTTAAAAATGAAAATTAAATGACACTTAAAACTAGGTTGTCATGCTCAATGAAGTGAGCATGTAAAAGGAGGGGGCGCTAGGGATGAGAAACACTGCGGTGTGGCTGCTCGTCACTCAGGGGCAGCGGGGACCCCTGTCACCCTTCCTGGGCTTGCCACCTCCATCATAACCACATTCGTCTGTGTCCTGTAAATCATTTATTCTCTTTCTCCGCAAATTTCAACTCTGCAGTTCATTTTATATTCATTTAGAACATTTAATGGTTTGTTATTGACTGACTGCAGCGGTTTAGATAAAAGAATACACTTTTATTCACAATAAAAATTGCTTTTTTAAGTTCCATCTTCAGTCCAGCCCTGTATCGTCCGTCTCGGCACATATTTAGTGTTAGGTTCATTTACTAATCAATCTACATTTTTTTTCCACTTCATTTACCAACCAGATTGCAAGACAACAGCAGCAGCTTCTGCAGCAACAGCACAAAATCAACCTCCTCCAGCAGCAGATCCAGGTCAGTCAAAGCATTTCTGTTGGCCCTCTACCACTCAGCAGCTTACACCTCCTACTTTTTTTCTACAATGATTACTACTCCACTTCTGCCTCTTCAGTATAATTAGAGCACCAGGGTTGTCACCATGATCCAGATGTCTGGATTTAATTGCACAGATCAATAAAATTAGGCATTAAAGTAAATATCATGGCTAACTTAAGTTTGCCACTCCTTCTTTACTTCTTATTCCTTTATCTCTGATTTTTTTTGTGTGTGTGTGTCACGCTGACATTCGTCACTTTCATCAAATGTTAATTGGCCGTTGGTAATCGGGAGGACTTTAAAATATGTAGGCGAATAATTAGCACATCTTAATGAACAAAAAAAATGGGGGGAAAAGTAACAACGGCTAATGAGTTGTGTTGATGGAGAAGTGCGTGGAGGTGGGGGACATGAAAGAGGCTGGTAAATGCCTCCGAAATGAGTAGATCCCAGAAGGGCAATATGGCACGCTTTCACACAGCACGCGACCTGCTGAAACCTACATTGTCACCATGACCTGTGCCTGCGACACGTACTTCCTTATGCCGCCTCGTGGACTTTTATGTTTTGTTCTACTTTTTCAGATGTGCATCATGCCAGATGTTATCTTGCTCACCGCGTGTGTATGTTTGTGTGTGCTCTGTGCAGTATAGTACAAAGCACAAAGGTGCAGAGGAAGACCACCCACGCAGCATGTAGCTGAATATGGTCAGGGATATGTACAGGGTAATCCAGGGTTGCTTGCTGGCAGTGGTCAAGGCTGCGAGCCTGGCTGCCTTTGTGAGGCTAACATTATCCTGCCGGGTGTGTTTGGTGTCAGGCACATCCTTCTCCATTTACCTCCTCCTTCTCTGCTTGTTCTCAAAACTCTCCGCATCAAAACTTTAAATATTCACCTGCAGCAAACTCCTGCAGAATCAACATTCAGATATTTTTTTGATAAAGAGTATCTTCTCCCCATATACTGGGACATACCACATATAATACAGCTTATTCTTATGATCCAAAGAGCAAAGAAAACATCTGTTCTCAAAGAGCAGTTAGTATAACAAACAGATTTATGGCCAGGGCATCAAAATGCCTCTTTCAATGGCTCTTTACAAGAGGAAGACTGCACTCTCAGCTTACTGTGGAGTAGCCACTAGCCTGGACCTTTCGCTTCAACAGTGGACAGTCTATTGGAAAAACAATTCCATACGACATTCCACTACAGACAAGCACATAGCATGACACTCTGTGTAGAAAACCCTCGAAAATGAAGTACCTTATACACTGCCGAGAGGCTAGTAATACTCATATGATAGAGAGCTCTTTACTTATGCACGTTGAGCATAAGGGCACAGCCCTAAAGGACCTCCCTTTTCGAGGCCCTTGCTTTCATCACAGAGTTATAGGCAAATGTTACCTGAAAATTCCCCTTGATGGATACTTTTCAGAGAGGGTGAGGTTTCAAGTGTTTATGGGAAAGTGCTTCTAAATATCCATTTCAAACACTTGAACGGAGATACAAGTAAAGCCCTTTCTTGTAGAGCCCAGTTAGCCAGTTTTCCCCTGACAAAATGAGATCTCTCCTGATTAAAAAAAAAGCCACATCCACAATTAAATAAAAGAATCTCATGGTCAGACCATCTGTTCTACTTGCCCATCAGCCTCTCCTGGCTGCACTGGGCACGCACAACTCAAAAACAAGTCGCTCCCAAGACTTTAATAAGTTTCACTGTGTGCAACATTGTTTATCCGACAGCAAGTTATTTAGAGAAGAATATGTTCTCTGTCCTTAACCTATGGCCACTCCTCTCAAGTTGGAGTATCAGCAAGAGTAGATAAAAGAGAGTCAGGGGCAAGTTAGCGCAACGGTTTCTGCCACTCTGTTTTCATTAGTGCTGCCTCTTAAAAATGCCCTGGTCATTTTAATATACAACAGCTTTGACTTAATTATTTCTGTAAACAAGCTTCCATCCTGTACTGCGCAGGCCTTTAGCAAAGTGGTAAGCAGCGCTGAGGGATTGAGTTACTCTGCTGCTAGCATGGAGAGCATTAAACTTTATTGGAGACCCTCCTGCCATCAAAGTCCTTCTGTTTTGGCTCGAAGGAAAATGAAGAGAAAGCTTCTTGCTCAGGTCTTCTACTGATGATGTGACATTTGACACCGTAAAGGGTCCACACAATAAAACCGAGGGGACCGCAACTGGAGGCTGTTTCTGTTACGCGTGTGCTGTCAAGGACTTTTTTTTTTGCATATAAATTTAAGTTGAATCAGAAGTAGGTAGTTATTAGGTTTAGTAAGCGAGGTTTGGTCCAAGGCAGCAAGCAGTTCAATCGAGTTCTTCTTTTGAATAGCCAACTCTCATTTTATCCTTTCTCATCATTCCAACAAGAGACGAAAAGAGATTTAGTCTTTGTCCCTCGGGATTACAATGTCACTTGTTTTAAGATAGCAGATGTTTTGATTGAAGCGTTAGAGGCTTATCAAAAGTTAAAGCTCAAGGCTTTGTGTGTTTTTCCCTCAGCTTCTTTGTATTTTTCAGTTCATCCTCCTCGTTGAAATCGTCTTGGCACTAATTCAATCCTAGGATTAGATTAACTCTTGAGTTGATTTAAGTTGAAAATCTGAAACCTCACCATTGCAAGGGTCATGTGACACTTAAACACACACATATATATATATATATATATATATATATATACACATATTAGCCATTTAACTCTGTTTCACTTTGTTTGTGGGAATGCATGAGAGGTAAAGACAAGGCATCATTTCAGGATATAAAATTTTAAAAAGTATGAGACATGGAGCTTTAAGGCACTCAGGTGTTGTGCCATCCATAGCCAGACCATAAGAATAACTCCATGCACCTCACTGGGTAATAAGCCCAGTTCATGTTTTCCTCAAGGATGGGTCTGTTAAGATACAATCCCTGGTATGACTCTGTATGCAAGTAAATACACATATACATCCACAAAGGTGATAGTGTACAGTACACAGGCACACAGGGACCCACGCGCTGATACACACATCAATGGAATAAATACTGGCAGAAAGGTCAGGGTGAACTTTATCTTCACAAACAGGCTGGAGAAAGCCGAGCTCCCCACATGAAACAGAGGGACACTTTTAATTCATAACATTTAATTTAATTTCCTTTTTTTAATCCATGAAAAACATCACAATATCATGACACTGTCATTTGTCATTGGCTGTGGCATTGATGTGCTAACTCTGAGGACACTGTGAGACCCAAGATCGGCAAGCTAACAGTTTCAATGTTGGCTGACAAAAGTTCTTTTTTGCCCACATTTATATCTCACTCCATGAATGATCTGTTCGTCAGCCAAGTTATTCAGTTTATCTCCCTTTGACCTATTCTTCTCTCCCGACATACGACCTAGCTATAAACTCTGACCTCGCTGAAAGTAAGCGCACATTTTTGGTCCATTTAACCTCATGTCCACAAACACGGCTTGCTGAAAATGAAAACCAGAGATTAAAAGAGAAAAGGCCAGTGTATTAGTGTCCACTGCACACTTCAAAGTCTTAGTGGCTTCCTCACATGTGTCTTTAATGGTGTCAAGAAACAGTGGGGGACACTACTAAAGGTTTCAAGATTAAAGAAGAAATTCAATAACACCAGCATTAATCCGCCAAGAATTTTATAAGGTGGACAATATAGAGATAGATTTTTGAAGATGAGACGGTGCATAACAGACTTGCAGGAAAACATGCAGTTTGATAGAAAAAGGTTCTGCATTAATTCTTCATAGAGTTCATATTTTAGCCAATGGCAGGGTTATTACTAACATATCTTTCCCAATCTTTTTGTCAGTATATCACACACTGTAAAAGTATTGTTGTCGTTATTTTACAGGAAAAGACTTCAAAATAGGTTTCAAAAGGGTTTGAAAGAGTTCAGCTTCAGTTTTTTGACCCCTTTTCTTTCTAATGCTTTCTAATTCTTTAGTCTTACCACAAAAACAGAGGTGTTTAATGTCAGTTGACATAGTGTTACAAGTGAAAAAAAAACTTTACAGTGATGTGTTTTATTCAGACGACACAGAACTCCCATATTTCTCATAGAAATCAGAAAAGTCACAGGAGGATGTCTGTACCTGTCCATCTGTACACAGTAGCTGAGGAGTCTGCACTCACATAATTTTCTCTTTCTTTTAGTTTGCACCTACAGATATCAACTCTGATAATCTAACTTTAAACAAACATCAAGCTTTATATTTAAAATAAAAAAGCAGTTTTTGTTTGTTTCGGGGGCTTTATTTCACATCTTCTGGAAATATCCATAATAGCTTAACAAATAAACTTTTCCTTAAGTGTCCGGTGCGGTTGCGGTTTGGCAGATGACTGACATCAAGCCTGACCCGCGGCTGTCATCAAGTCATTCTTTCAATTTCAAACGTTTTCAATCAAATCCAGCCTTTTCTTCTGGTTTAGCTTACTCGTAGATTTCTGCATTCTTGTTGTGATCCCCTTCCACTGTGATTCAGATGCAGCTTTTGATGGTTGGGGTCAGGGTCACGGTTCTGTTACAACACAAATCATCAAGCCAGTGCAAGGTCTTTGGCAGTATTTGGTAGCTTCCCACACATAATTGGCCTGCATTCAGTATTCCAGTCTTGACAAACCCCGCACGGATGAAGAATTAAATCTTTGTTTAGTGCTGCGCAAACAGTTATCTCACCAGATCTCGCACCAGATTTGATCAAATCATACTGGTCTCTGTAATAAATAGTCTTTTAGTACTTCTGTTTGGTCTACCTTTTTATCATAATGAAATGGAATATGCATCCGATCCTTTGCAATAATTTAATGCTGATTTCGTACCGCTACCAATTTAGAGGAACAAAAACCCAAAACTACAGTATAATGGTAAATATTTAAAATCAATCAGATGAGTTTAAATAAACACGGGGCCGTATGGTAATTGCTCGAAGATAATAGTGCTAATTTGTGTATTCTCTGATGCTTT